TCCTTAAGGATGGACTGGTTTGATCTCCTTGCAGTCCAAGGGGCTCTCAAGAGTCTTCTTGAACACCACAGTTCAAAACCATCAATTCTTCAGTGCTCAGCTTTCTTTATAGTCCAATTCTCAAATCCATACATAACTACTGAAAAAACCATAGCTTTGACTAGACGGACCTTTGTTGTCAACGTAATGTCTCTGCTTTTTAATGTGTTGTTCAGTTTGGTCATAACATTTTTTCCAAGGAGCGTCTTAATTTCATGGCTGCAGTCACCATCTGCAGTGATTTTGGAGCCCAAGAAAATAAAGTCTGTCACTGTTTCCAGTGTTTCCCCATCTATTTGCCATGAAGTGATGGGACCAGATGCCGTGATCTTACTTTTCTGAATGTTGAGTTTTAAGCCAGCTTTTTCACTCTCCTCTTTCACTTTCATCAAGAGGCTCTTCAGTTCCTCTTGACTTTCTGCCATAAGGGTGGTTTCATCTCTGTATCTGAGGTTATTGATATTTTTTCTGGCAATCTTGATTCCAGCGTGTGCTTCATCCAGACCAGCATTTCTCATGATGTGCTCTGGATATAAGTTAAACAAGCAGGGTGACAATATACAGCCTTGACGTACTCCTTTCCCAGTTTGGAACCAGTCTATTATTCCATGTCCAGCTCTAAATGTTGCTTCCTGACCTGAATACAGATTTCCCAAGGGGCAGGTCAGGTGGTCTGGTATTCCTATCTCTTTCAGAATTTTCCACAGTTTGTTGTGATCCACACAGTCAAAGGCTTTGGCATAGTCAATAAAGAAGAAATAGATGTTTTTCTGGAACTCTTGCTTTCTTGATGATCCAACCAATGTTGGCAATTTGATCTCTGGTTCCTCTACCTTTACTAAATCCAGCTTGAAAATCTGGAAGTTCGGAGTAGGCAATGGCAACCCACTCCAGTATTCTTGCCTGGACAATCCCATGGACAGAGGAGCCTGGTGGGCTACGACTTGCTAGAGTCAGACACGACTGAGTGACTGAGCATGCTCGCATATATAACAGAGGACACATCAACAGCACTTAGATAGACAGAGAAATATTGAAAGAACACTTCCAGCCCTCCCAGAAGATCTCTGTGCTCCTTTCCACTCACTGGCCCACAAAGGGAATCACTATCCTGACTTCTAAAACTATAGATTGATTTTGCAAGTTCTAGAATGTCATATAATTGAAAGTACACAATATGTAATCTTTCATATAGGACTTGATTCACTCAGTGTTTGCATCCATGTTGTTGCATGTATTTAGAAGTTCATTTATGTTATTACCGAGTAGTATTCCATTATATGAATGAACCAGAGTTTGTCTATTCACCTGTTGATGGACATTTACATTTGGACTATTTCTAGGTTTTCCAGGTTTTGATTGTTATGAATAAAGCTGCTGTGAGCATTTGGGTACATATCATTGTGCGGACGTAAAGTTTAATTCCTCCTGGGTATATAGTTAGGAATAGAATTGATGGGTATTTAAAAACTTTTAAAAGACTGGGCTTAGAAAATTTCAAACAAATACAGAAATAGAACAGTAACAAATACTCATGTCCCCATCATCTAGCTTCAGTAATCAAGTCATGATGAATTTTGTTTTCTCTCTTCCATCCTGAAGTAGTTTAATTTTTTTTATAAATATTTATTTTTATTTATTTATTTGTACTGTTTCTTCATTGTAGCATGTGGGATCTTGTTAATAGTTGGCATGTGGGATCCAGTTCCCAGGGATTGAACCCAGGCCCCCTGCATTGGAAATGTGGAGTCTTCGCCGCTGAACCACCAGGGAAGTCCCCCTGAAGTAGTTTAAAAGCAAACCCTACACCAGGATATTTTGTCATCTTTATATCTTCAAAAAATAAAGATTTATTTAAATTTTTTTTCCAAAGACTCACTCTATGTAAAACTTTTTTTTAAATTAAGGTAAAATTCAAATAAGAAAAAATTCACCATTTTAACCATTTTAAAGTATATTATTCAATAATTTTTAATACATTCACAGGGTTGTATAACCATCACCACTATCTGATTCCAAAATATTTTCATCAGGCCAAAAAGAAACCTGGATACTATTAAGCAGTCATTCTTCATTCTCCCCTTCTCCCAGCATCTGGCAACCACTAATCTACTTTCTGTTTCTATAGATTTGCCTCTTCTGGACATTTCCTATAAAAGGAATCGGACAATATGTGCCCTTTTATGTCTTGGTTTCTTTCACTTAGAATAATGTTTTCAAGGTTCATTTATGTTGCAACATATATTACTACTTCATTCCTTTTTATGGTAAAACAATATTTCATTGTATGAATATACAATATTTTAAGATCTAAAAAAAAAAAAAAAAGAAAATCTGGAAGTTCACAGCTCACGTATTGTTGAAGCCTGGCTTGGAGAATTTTAAGCATTACTTCACTAGTGTGTGAGATGAGTGCAATTGTGTGGTAGTTTGAGCATTCTTTGCATTGCCTTTCTTTGGGATTGGAATGAAGACTGACCTTTTCCAGTCTTGTGGCCACTGCTGAGTTTTCCAAATTTGCTGGCATATTGAGTGCAGCACTTTCACAGCATCATCTTTTAGGATTTGAAATAGCTGAACTGGAATTCCATCACCTCCACTAGCATTGTTTGTAGTGATGCTTCCTAAGGCCCGCTTGACTTCACATTCTAGGATGTCTGGTTCTAGGTAGTGATCATACCATCGTGTTTATCTGGGCCATGAAGATCTTTTTTGTACAGTTCTTCTGTGTATTTTTGCCACCTCTTCTTAATATCTTTTGCTTCTGTTAGGTCCATACCATTCCTGTCCTTTATTGAGCCCATCTTTCCATGAAATGTTCCCTTGGTATCTCTAACTTCCTTGAAGAGATCTCTAGTCTTTCCCATTATGCTGTTTTCCTCTGTTTCTTTGCATTGATCGCTGAGGAAGGCTTTCTTATCTCTCCTTGCTATTCTTTGAAAGTTTTCATTCAATTGGGAATATCTTTCCTTTTCTCCTTTGCTTTTCACTTCTCTTCTTTTCACAGCTATTTGTAAGGCCTCCTCAGACAGCCATTTTGCTTTTCTGCATTTCTTTTCCATGGGGATGGTCTTGTTCCCTGTCTCCTATACAATGTCACAAACCTCTGTCCATAGTTCTTCAGGCACTCTGTCTATCAGATCTAGTCCCTTAAATCTATTTCTCACTTCCATTGTATAATCATAAGGGATTTGATTTAGGTCATACCTGAATGGTCTAGTGGTTTTCCCTACTTTCTTCAATTAAGTCTGAATTTGCCAATAAGATGTATTATTAAGTTAAAAAAATGGAGGCCAAAAATAGTACATAGCTTATGTTCTCATTTACATTGACAGTTCTTAAATAAGATTAAATGTGGAAGGATTGGCCCAAAATGATAACAATAGTTATTATCTTTGTATGGTGGAATTATGATAGAATTTCTACTTTCCCTTTTAATATTTTATAATGGTCATGCAGGTATACCTCATTTTAAAAGGGAAACAAAACCAGTCAGTACTTTAAAGGCTTGTGCTCTGTATGCATTGTGGCTCTGTAGTAAGGGATACTATTTCAGTTCAGTTCTGTCACTCAGTCGTATCCAACTCTTTGCAACCCCATGGACTAGAGCACGCCAGGCTTCCCTGTTCATCACCAACTCCTGGAGCTTGCTCAAACTCATGTCCATTGAGTTGGTGATGCCATCCAACCATCTCATCCTGTTTCTTCCCCTTCTCCTCCTGCCTTCAATCTCTCCCAGCATCAGGGTCTTTTCAAATGAGTCAGTTCTTCACAGCAGGTGGCCAACGTATTGGAGTTTTAGCTTCAGCATTAGTCCTGCCAATGAATATTCAGGACTGATTTCCTTTAGAATGGACTGGTTGGATCTCCTTGCAGTCCAAGGGACTCTTAAGAGTCTTCTCCAACATCACAGTTCAAAAGCATCAATTTTTCATCACTCAGCCTTCTTTATGGTCCAACTCTCACATCCATACATGACTACTGGAAAAACCATTGCTTTGACTAGACGGACCTTTGTTGTCAAAGTAATGTCTCTGAATTTTAATATGCTTTCTGGGTTGGTCATAGCTTTTCTTCCAAGGAGCAAGCATCTTTTTATTTCATGGCTGCAGTCACCATCTGCAGTGATTTTGGAGCCCAAGAAAATAAAGTCTGGATTCCATTTCCTCTACATGAAAGAAGCTGTAAAGTGAGGGTCAGATAGACTCCTGGACTCAGATCTGTTAATGCCCTGCCTCTTCCTAAATCTAGGAAAGATCAGTGTGAACAAGTCTCTTGGAGCTCCATGTCAACTCTCATCTTATGGTCATATTTTAGAGATCATTTCTCTTTGATTTAGAGAAATTATTTTCCTTTGTAAGAAATTTAAGGATACAGTTAAGATATGGGGTTAAATTAAAAAAATTTTTTTTTCCACTGAAAGATCAATCTCACTTGCAATATAAACTGTCCTCTAAAATTAAGATCTAAAGGAGATCAGTCCTAGGTGTTCATTGGAAGGACTGATGCTGAAGCTGAAACGCCAATACTTTGGCCACCTCATGCAAAGCGTTGACTCATTGGAAAAGACCCTGATGCTAGGAGGGATTGGGGCAGGAGGAGAAGGGGACGACAGAGGATGAGATGGCTGGATGGCATCATCGACTCAATGGACATGAGTTTGAGTAAACTCTGGGAGTTGGTGATGGACAGGGAGGCCTGGCGTGCTGCGATTCATGGAGTTGCAAAGAGTCGGACACGACTGAGTGAATGAACTGAGCTGAACTGAAAGTTAAGAAACTAGTAGTATTTTTGTTTCTTAACTATAAGCTAATTATTTAGCATTGGTTAAATTACATTCCCTCAGTCCATTGCAGGGTGCTGTTGCAATAATCTTGACTGGTTTTGTTAATAAGAAGTTGTGGGTGATCTAGGGTAATAGAGCATCACTTAGGATAATAAAATCTGAATTGTTTTTACAGGTCGAGAGATCCGTCTGCCCCTCCGAATCAAAGGGGAAGGAATAGGACCAAAGATTCATTTCAACTTTGAGTTGCTGGATATTGGAAAAGTTTTTGTTGGATCTGTACATTGTTATGAGGTAAACATTAGGATTGTTCATTGAGAATCAAAAGTATGTGCTGTTTTTGTTTGATTTTTTGTGTTTTTATTGATAGGAAATTTTTGCTATCATATTTTTTTTACCGTTACTCACACCTATTTGGACCCCAAATGATCAAACTCCTCTTCCTCCCTCCCAGTTTTACTGAAGGAAGCAATTTTTTCCATCCCTTTTAGCCCTTCTAACTTTACAAAAGGCATCAAATTCACAATTTTATTGATTTTATCAGCATCATTTTATGAATTGCAAAGGGGGAACACCATAAATATTAATACATCTCCCTATCTGTTTAATGTTTGTTCTCTGACAACATAAATCCTACAGATGAGAGAATGGAGGACCTGTTACATTTTCCAGAATGTCCTAATGAGGATAGCTGTTTTCACACTTCAGAGTTTTCTCTAATTTAAAATTTTAATTTAATTTTCTCTGATTTAAAAACCAATCATCCTGATTCCTGGAAGCTATCTCCTTGTTTTGTCTTTCCAATTAAATAGAAAATGATTTTTTTACATGTTGTTCCCATGGGTTCATGAGGATCAAAATTACTTCAGTGTCACTTCATCATTAAATTCGTGTCTAGGACATTTGTTTACACTACATAAAACTGTAACCTAGAAAGGTTATTGTGGAAAGATTCCTAAATTGTGTTTGTATTTCTATAAATGTAAAAACAAAAGCATTCATTTAGTGAGAGACAAACAGTCATCAGGTTCCGCGCTCTATTATGTGTGCATGCCTACATGTGCATGTGTCATTTCTAATTTTTATGTACCTGTTTTATAAATGAGAAATATGAGGTGCATAGCAGTTAATTCAACATTCTCACCCTTCAGGTATGTGGACTTCACATGTATTAGTTCTCTTGGTCCTCACAAAAGCCATATGAAGTAGGTACAATGACTGTCCCCATTTTATAGCTGAGGAAGCTAGAGGAGATAATGCTACATACCATAAGAAATAAATACAGTAATGTATCTATTTTGTTCCTAACGTAAAGTCCCAGACAAGCTTGCTCATCAGCAGAGGGCTCTCCTCCTGCGGAGGATCAGGAACTCTCCTTCTATCTCATGGCTCTGCCACCCCTTACCCCTCACATGTGACTTGCAAGATTGCAGTGTCACGTGTATCACACTGACAGTAGAAGAAAGAGCATGGAGGGATGCACACAAGAGGTTTTTATAGGAGGCAGCACCAGCAGTGGCACGTATCTCTTTTGTTCACATTCTGTGACTGCGAGGGTGACTGGGAAATGTAGTCTAGCTATAGGCACAGGAAGAAGAGGATATAAGTCCAGTGAACAGCCAGCTTCATTCTGCCACATTTGTTAAGTAACTTGGCAAGGTCACATAGCTTGGAAATGTTAGTGAGCAGTGAGTGGCTAGGGCCCGACATCGTAGGGGATGAGAAGGCCCTTTGCTAGCTTGTCAGTCGCTTGGCATCCCATTATGGGCAAATCCCGTCTACAGGCAACTCACCTTTCAGCCCAGCCTAACCTGGTATGGAAGGTAAGTGCCCAGCTGATGTTGAGAGCTTCCTGCTGTGTCATTTGTCATCACATTCATCAGAGTTAACGATATCCCAAATGGGATGATTTGAAAGGTAAATAGAGATGTTAACGTCATGTTGACGTGGAATATACCCAAGAGCACACTTTAAATGAAGCAATCAGTTGCATGACTATCAGAAAATGAAAAGTGCACACCCACCATGTTGCATTGTGCTGTGTTGCATTCTGAAAAAAATAGTCATTTAGAGGGAAACAGGTATGAATTCTTATTGAATTGATATTCTGCCTGTAATTTATCCAGAATAAATTTCACTTATACCTTAAAGACTGTGTCTTATAGGTGCTGCAGCAGAAAAGAGCATTTAGTTCTGATGCAAAATGGATAGGGTTTGCCTGAATATAATAATACTTTCTTACAAATTTTAAGAGAAGTGTACTTGAGCCCTTCCCTTCCCACCCTCCCACATTTGAGCAGTAACAAACCACAGCCAGCTAAATAAGTGTTAAATGGAGTGCAGCATTAGACTGGACAGTTTTGAGAGCTGTGCAGTGCCAGAGAAGGACATGGTAAGGTGCTTCTTATAGGAATATTTGCACACATTGCGTATTTAATGCTGATGCCTCATTGCATCTCTGTTTCAATTTATTACATTACCTGCTTGAGATGAATTTGAATAACTAGCTATTGCTCTTAGTCATTGCTGAGCTTAGCAGATACATAAAGAATAATCCCCAAGAGTATACACCGTTCCCCAGTGTAATTAGAAGAAAAACAAATGAGAGGTGAAGTTCTTCTATGAATTTACCCCTCTCCAAGGAGTTGGACTGCAGGGTGAGGGCATTACTAGTAATCAGAAGATGTCAGAATTGTGCTGCCAGACAATTTCCTGGATTCCGTATACATAGGTAGTTTCTGGTTTGTCAGGGGGGAGAAGAGTGAAACGCATATTCTTGAAAATAGAGTTGGCCCCTTATAGAAAATCTGAGTAAGACAACAGTAAAGGCAGTCCTTGTACCAGCTCAGAGAGGAGAGTAAAGGTCCTTCAAGTTACCATCAATACCTTCGAGTTGCCTTCACGTTACCACTAACTGGTACAGATCAGTTGCATCTTAAGCACAGATAAATCTTAAACTCATTTGGCTTAACACTGGGTATATAAATATCAATCACTGTCGTTTATGAACACTCATTGCCACTCACTAGTCTAAAAGTAACGTAAATTAATAAATTTCATTTTCATGGCAATCTGAGAAGTTAGTAGTACTTATATTTTACAGGTAGGGAAATAGGCACAGAGAAGCTAAGCAGGTTCTGCAAGGTCACACAGCTTGTAAAGTCAGTGGAAAAGCTGGGATTTGAACCCAGGCATTTGACTTCTGAGACCATGGTCATAATCACTTTTCTACATGGTCTTTTTAAAAGGAGTAAAGAACAAAATGTGGCTCCTATGACCAAGGAACTTAGAACGAGGGAGATGGGAAATAAATGTAAAAAGATGAGTAACATCAAGTAACAGGTATCTTGTGGTGAATCATTCATCTTCTCTTGGCAGGAACAGTTTCTTCCTTTGCAAGAGCCCCTGTCTCTATCCTACTTGTGCTCTTGATTCCTTCTTCTCTGCTCCTTAGGAGGCAACCTAATCTAGTGGACCCCCTACACCCATCCAAATCCTATTACCTTGGTTACCTAGTCCCCTTTTCTTATTACAACATCAAACATCTAATCTGGGCCTTGAGTGCATTGTCTCATTTAATAGTACAAATAGACTAGATCTCCTCTACCATACCTTCCTACAGCTTTGCCACCCCCATTTTCTCTTTTTACCACTAATATTGTCAAAACACCAGTCTGGAACAGTCAACCACTATTTCCTCTGCACCTGTGCACTCCCTAAACATTTGTACTCTGGATTCCTCAGTCACGCTCTATTGGAATTACTTTTTTCTTTGAGGGCAGGGATGGCCCAATTAAAAATAAAATATCTGTAGCATTTTCTCAAAGCTTATTCTCCTTGACCTCTGTCCACATTCAACGTCTTTTGGAAATTCTCTCTTGGCTTTCTCAGTTCCTGACATGCCTCACATACCTTTTTGAATCTTTCTTCATTATCTCCTCTTTTTCTTACTCCAATGATAGGTTGAGTGTAGGTTGAGGGCACTTACTACACAGAGAGAATGGCTGTTCACTTGTTCGGGTGTAAACATTGGCCAGGAATGGAGATTGTGTTCTAGAAATCCAGGGATAGAACTGTGTGGCAATACTACAGGTTCATGGCAGCAACTGTGGCAAACGGCAGCAGGAGCAGTAGGCAGAGCCAGCGCAGAGGCCTCTAAGTGCCGAGCATGAGCTTTTTACACACACCTAGTGTGCAATCAAATATGGGCAAATTGGTTCCAGAAACTGATATATAGGAATAAAACTTCTCTGTAGTAAAACAGTAGCTTGCATAAGCATCCCCAAACAGTTATCCCTCCATTAGAGTTTGAGCTGAAAGTATCACAATAGGATGAAATCTAATGGTGCAACAAAGAGAATCTTTGCAATCTGGAATCCACAATTATATCTCATCTACATTCTTCAAGCTACATTATAAAGGTAGGCTTAGAAAGTTCTTGCTCCTGTATTCTGACTTGATTTTTACTTTTCAGCATGTCACTTAATCCCAGCCTTCTCATGTATATAAGAGAAAGACCTACCTTCCCTTGATAGTTTTATGGATAGAATAAAAGGTATTTTAAGGTTCTTCTTCAGTAGATATGATTATGATCAGTCTTTATAGCATAAGTATAATACATATGACGAACTCCATTTTAAAGAGGAAATAAAAACACAAAATTATTTTCTGGCTTGGGACTCCTGTCTTTAAACAGAACACTGTTGATTTTTCCCCTGAGGTTTTTCTTTGGAGCTGTCTTCCTGCAGCTGTCTCTGTGTTGGTGCTTATATGAAAATAAATCACAGTCCCGTTGCTTACTTTTTTCATTCTTGTCTTTTTGATACAGGCAGTGCTATCCAACAAAGGCAGCATTGATGCCCTCTTCAATGTGATCCCTCCAGTTTCACCTCTGGGGGCCTGCTTTGTTTTCAGTCCCAAGGAAGGCATCATCGAACCAAGCGGAGTCCAGGCTGTCCAGATCTCCTTTAGTTCTGCCATCCTAGGGCATTTTGAAGAAGAGTTCCTGGTCAATGTGAATGGGTCACCTGAGCCTGTGAAACTGACCATTAGGTAAGTTGCTTCTACAAGTAATATGGAAACTGAAGTTTTTACCTATGCTTTCTTAAACTTCAAAACTAGATCACTTTATACATTAATGGAGAATTACTAGGTTGACAGAATGTTTATTTTCTGTTAATAACACTATTGATACCTATCTGAAAATAACAATTTGACTCCCTACTGATTACTTTTTAAAATCCAGGCACAAACATAAAATGTAAAAATAAAATCCTCTCATAAAATTATTTTAGAAACCAGAACTAGATCATGTCTTGAATATCGATATCTGTCTTTGTTGATATGAATACGTCAATATATAAGGGTGTTTTAAATTTCTACCAGTGTTTCTCTAGTAGACATGTATAACTTCTTGTAACATGGATGCAGTTGCTCTTTTGGGATCTAGTTTTTCTTTAAATTATAACCTTATAAAATAAAGACTTAAATTAGTTTCTACTTTCTCTCTCTGTTTTACTATGTTTAGGGAAAGTAAGTTACTAACACCTGGATAAAATCATCTTCTATGACTAAGCTTTGGTTGTTAACCTATTAATAGTTTCTCTAAACTTTCACCTTTTGTTTTTTTCCCATCTTTTGATTTTATTTTAAGGAAATTATTTAAATGGTCTTACGTCTAATGCCACCAGGAATTATAAAAGTCTACTTGTGGTGTCAGTCAGCCAGTGCTAGACACTTGAAACTTTTGTGGTAGACATCTTTTGATGCCTTCTCTGGCTGCTGTTTGTCTTCAGGTTTTAAAAAGAAGTTCTCTGTAACCAGCCCATTGGCAGACCTATAACTTTGGCTCCTGTTGCTTTAGAAGTTCATGTCTTCAGAATAGATTGCAGATTCTATTTGGATTCCCACAGCAACAGGTTGTTAATTAGGATAGTCTCTCTTATTTTGGTTCAGAAGCCTAGCAGGACCTCACTCCATCTACAGCTGAAGTCTCTCCCTTGAGGTCTAGAGATGACGTAGAAAAGAGACAAGTACATGTCTGAGGCCTGAATGATCCTAGGAAAACTTATTGATTTTAAGATATCTACTGAAAATGTAGAATCTTAAGATTGACTTGCAGGTGATTACCATTTCTTCTCAATTCTTTCACCTAACTATCTCTGCTATAGGGTGAATTACATCCTCTCAAAATTCCTATGTTGAAGTCCTAACACCCAGTACTTTACAATGTGACTGCACTTGGAGATGAGACTTTTAAAGAAGTAATTAAGGAAAAATGAGGTCATATGAGTGGGCCTTAATCTAATATGAATGATGTCCCTGTCAGAAGAGGACATTAGGACAGATACACAAATAGGAAAAGACCGTGAGAAGACACAGGGAGAAGGTACCCATTTGCGAGTGAAAGAGAGAGTTCCTCGTAAGAAACCAGCCCTGCCAACATGTTGATCTTAGACTTCCAGCCTACAGAACTATGAGGAAATAAATATGGACACAGTTAACAACAGAGCCCAAAGATACATGAAGCAGAAGCTTACATAATGGAAGAGAGAAATAGGTAATTGAACAGTAATAAATGGAGATGTCACTACCCCACTTTCAATAATGGATAGAACAGCTCGCCAGAATATCTTAATAGAAGAGTTGAATAATACCGTAAACCAACTAGACCTAGCAGACACCCATAGAACTTGCCACCCAGCAAGTGCACTTGGAGCATTTTCCAGAATAGACCATACGTGAGTCCATAATGCAAATCTCAATAAATTTTAAATAATTTGAATCATGCAGAGTGTGTTCTTCAACTAGAAAGAAATAAAATGAAAAATCAAAAGTAGAAGAAAATGTAGAGAATTTACAAATATGTGGAAATTGAAAAACACACCTAAATTACCAGTAGGGCAAAGAAAAATATTACAAAATACTTTGAGATAAATGAAAGCAGAACAAAGAGTACCAAAACTTATGAGATGTGGTAAAAGTAGTGCTTTGAGGGAAATTGATAGCTGTATTGAGTGCCTGTATTTAAAAAGAAAAAAGATCTCAAATCAATAACCTAAATTTCTACCTTATGAAACTTGAAAAAGAAGAGCTAACTAAATCCAAAGCAAACACAAGGAAGGAAATAATAAAGATTAGAGTGGAAATTAATGAAATAAAAAAGAAAAACAATAGAGAAAAAATAAAACTGAAAGTTGTTTTTATTTAACATTGTATTGAAAGTTCTATCCAAGGCAATTAGGCAAGAAAAAGAAATATAAGACTTTCAGATTGAAAAGGAAGAAGTAAAGCTATCTCTCTTTGCAGATGACATGATTTTATATGTAGAATATTCCAAGGATTCCACCAAAAAGCTATAGAGCTAGCAATTGAGTTCAGAAAAATTATACAATATAGGCTCATATACAAAAATCAATTGTATTACTGGAGAGTAGCAATGAAAATTCAAAAATGAAATTAAGAAAATTCCTCTTACAATAGTTAAAAGAATGATATAGTTGGGAATAAATGTAACAAAAAAAAGTGTTAGACTTGCACATTGAAAACTACAAAACCTCATCAAAAATGAATTTAAAAGAAGACCTAAATAAGTGACATGAATTAGAAGACTTAGTATTAACCTAAAATGGCAAGATTTCACAAAGTGATGTATAGATTCAACATGATTCTATCAAAATTCCAGCTGTCCTTTTGCAGTAATTGATGAGCTGATACTAAAGTTTATATGGAAAGACAAGAAATCCAGAATAGCCAAAATAATTTTTTTTAAAAACCCTAAATTTGGAGAACTTATATATCCCATTTCAAAACATACTACAGTTTTGATGCAGTAATCAAGCATCTATTATTCTGGTATTAAGATAGACATATAGATCAATGGCACAGAATTGAGATTCCAAAAATAAATTCATATGGTTATGGTCAGTTTATTTTTATCAAGAGTATCAAGAAAATTCAATGGGAGAAAGGATAGTGTTTTTCAACAAATGATGCTAGAGCAACTGGATATCTACATTCAAAAGAATAAAGTTCCATGCAACCCCCCTCCATCTCACACCATATACAGAATTAATATGGACTTCCCTTGGTGGCTCAGACGGTAAAGAATCTGCCTGCAATGCAGGAGACTTGGGTTCGATCCCTAGGTCTAGAAGATGCCCTGGAGAAGGGAATGGCAACCCACTCCAGTATTCTTACTCAGATAATCCCATGGACAGAGGAGCCTGGCGGGGTATAGTCCATGGGGTCACAAAAGAGTCGGGCATGACTTAGTGGCTAACACACACATAGACCAAAGACCTAAATGTAACAACTAAAACTATAAAACTTTTAAAATAAAGCATAGGTGCACTATACATGACTTTGGATTAGGCAAAGATTTCTTAAATATGACACGTAAGTATAAGCAATCAAAGGAAAAGTATGTAAATTAGACTTCATCAGAATTTTTAAATTTTGTGCTTCAAAGGACATTATTAAGAAAATGAAAAAAGCAAACTACAAAATGGGAAAAAATATTTGTAAATCATATATCTGAAAAGGGGTGTCTATCTAAGATATATACAGAACACTAACACTCAATAACAAAAAGACAACCCAGTTAAAAATGGGCAAACCGTCTGAGCAGACTTTTTTCTAAAAAAGATATGCAAATAACTAATAACATGTGAATAGACTCTCAACATCATTAGTCATCAAGGAGATGCAAATAGAAACCACATTGAGATACAACTTCATACCTGTGTGGATGGCTATAACTTAAAAATAGAAAATAGCAAGTGTTGTAGAGAATGTAGAGAAATAAGAAGCCTCATACACTGATGGTGGGAATGTAAAATTTGTAGTCACTTTGGAACAGTCTGACAGATTTTCGAAGAGGTAGACTTTGAATTACCTTATAATCTAGCAATCCATTCCTAGATACCTACCCAAGAAAAATGAAAATTTAAATCCACGCAAAAACTTGCACATGAATGTTTAACACTGCCTTATTCTTAGTAGCCAAAAGGTGGAAATAATCCAAGTGTCTCCCAGCTGATGAATGGATAAATAAAACATGGTCTATTCACACAATGGAATGTTATTAAGACCATAAAAAGGAATGAGAAAAGAAAGAATGATGTACATGCTGCAACATGGTACCTGTTAAGTGGGTGAATTTATAGCATATGAATTATATTTGAATGAGGCTGTTATTTTTTTAAAATTTCCAAGAGCCTGTAATATTGAATAATAGTTCTGTCATTTCATGGGTGAATTTTTTAAATCTCTCCTCTCTTCCCCTAAAGATCCCAAGCATGCACTATATAGTGTTGCATGCACTGTCTGAATAGATCAGAATGTACTTGGGTTCTCCACTAATAACAGAGTTTAGAAATCTTCTAGGAACCTTTTCACAAGTAAGTTTGGACTAGTTAATACTCCAGGTATTCTGTGAAGTTTAGGTCTCTTAAGTCTCTGGACCTTACCATTCATACCAGGTCCCATGCCTTTTTTTTTTTTTTGCATGTTCACTCCTTGTTTCTTGCAAAGGAAAGGAAAATCTGACTGTGGAAAGAATGTTTATTTCATCCTAAAACTAATTACAAATTGCAAAGAGAAATATTCTTGTCTAAATTGCATTTGTCCAAAATTGTTCTAGCATGTCATACCACAAACAGTAATTTTGAAAACTTGGTAAATATGTGGTGTCACAAATAAATGTCTAATGATAAAGGTTGAAATACATGTACCATTTATTATTTATTTTCAGTTCCACACAGTAATACTCATTTTACTTATGACTTTGCCAGGGACACTCTCTTGGGCCTTATAGCCCAGGAAGTCTCTATAAAAGTTTATATTGTGGATTCTGAAATATTATTTCTTATTCTTTTACTGTCAGGTAATCTTCTTTCCTCAATACCACATAATTTTTGCTAGTATACCTTGAAAGTTATCAGAACTATTGCTGAATTTTTTTCTGTTTATTTCTCCAGTTGCATGACACTACTTAAAGTGGTTGGATAAACAACACTGTAGAATTGAAGTGATTTTTTAAAATTACCTATAAGAAATTTTATACTCTCCTATTTTTACACATGTGACTTTATGAAGTTTAACTGTAGCATATTTTTCATTCAGTCTGTTTTACATAACAACATAATAATTCAATCACTCTATCTCTTGGTCTTTAAAATTCTAATCTTAACAGACCACTGCATTGGTGTTGGGTACCATCTTGGCAGAGACTGTCCTAATATTCAGAATCCCTGTTTGAATGGATGTGACAGTGTCTAAGCCCAGTTGGTATTCAGCTGCCGTTCCCTTAGTTATATGTGCCTTTGAACAAATGTGATTTAACTCTGGTTTTTTTCTGCTTCACTGATTAAACGACTGCTTTGTGCAATTTTGTGATCTTCTTTCCTATTTCTTTATGCTTTTGTGCACTGCAGACTCTTTTGATCTATTTGTTACTTTGGCCTCCCAAAAACTTTTTTTGCAAATCAAGTATCTAATCTGTAGGCTCGTTTGACTTCATTCTCAGCTGGATCCTAATTCCTCCTGAGTACCAGCTGCTCCTTTTGAAACCACTTTGGATTATTAGCATAAAATAGAAAAGATGGTCCTGGGAAAGGCTTTTAGAATCCAGACTTCCTGCACTGAGTCTTTGTTGTCATCTCTCCTCCCAGGCTTGCAGGAGCCCCTTAACATATTATAGTCAGATCTCTAGCAGCCGGAAGTATCACTGGGGCGCCAAGTTCATTCAGCATGGTATGGTACACCTACATCACCAACATCTGGATCTGGGTGGATTAGAAGACTCAGGCTTAGTGGGATTTCTGGGGTTTGTGTGTCTATAACTTTTGAAAGCCTGGCACACAAATGGGGAATTATTTCAGTTCTTACCTTTGGTCTAGAGATTTTAGGGACATAGACCATAGAAAAAGGCAAGAATAAACAAATATCTGATATATTAGTTTTCTATTGCTGCTGTAACAAATTACCACAAACTCAGTAGCTTAAAGCAATACACATATATTATTTTAAGTCCAACACAGGTCTTACAGAGCTAAAATCAAAGTATTGGCCAGGGCTGTCTTTGTTTATGGTAGCTCTTGGGGAGCATTTATCTCCTAACCTTGTTTGGCTTCTTGATGCTGCCCACAGTCTTTAGCTCATGATCTCCCTCCTCCATCTTCAAACCTAGCAAAAGCTGGTTGAATGTTTCTCACATTGCCTCACTCCTACCTTGTCTTCTGCCTCCATGTTCTGATTTTAAAGATCCTAGTGATTGCATTGAACCCAACTAGATAAGCCAGGCTAATGTCCATATCTTGTGTGCATGCCTGCTAAGTCACTTAGGTCATGTCCAACTCTCTGCAACCCTACGGATTGTAGCCCTCCAGGCTCCTCAGTCCATGGGGTTCTCCAGGCGAGAATACTGGAGTGGATTGCCATGCCCTCCTCCAGGGGATCTTCCCAACCTAGGGATTGGACCCGCATCTCTTACATCTCTTATATCTCTTACATTGGTAGGTGGGTTCTTTACCAGTAGCATCACCTGGTAAGCCCAATTTCCATATTTTAAGTTCAGTTAATTAGCAACTTCAATTCCTTCTGCTACCTTCATTAGTCTTTGCCATTTAACCTAATATATTCATAGATTCTGGGGGTTGTTAGCACATAGACATCTTTGGGGACCAATATACTACCTACCACACCTGAAGTAAGCTAGAAGCTATGGAATCTCTATTATTTAATTTAAGCTAGAGCATCACTCCAAGATCATGAGCCTTGCATGAGAGGGAAACAGAAAATCAACAGTTAAAGAATCCTTAAAGGCCACCTATTCCCATCTTCTCTTGTGTATGTTAGGAGAAAAACTGAGACCTACAGAGGTAAAGTGATTGACCAAGATCACAGCTAGTTGGTGGTAGGAACTGGATTAAAACAAATTTATTAAAGTGTGGACCAAGGAATACTGGTATCATTGATAGCCTTTGATGTCTATACCTGGATTAGACCTATAATTTTTTCTTGTCTGAATTAATAACTTGTCATGTTGTGTATCTCATCCACATTAACATTTTGTGCCATTAGTTCAGTGGTGTGTCTTCTCTGCCTCATCACTGGTAGGAATATAGTGATAAGTTAACCATAGCATCATTCGCTAAAACTCAAAGGTTTGAGTTGTAAAGGAATTTTAAGAACCATTGTGATTGACCATCATCTCACAGTTTCAGTGAGTCCTAGGTGATGCTGTAATTGATTAAATGCCAAATTATGGTTTTCAGTGCTCACTCTCTGCCCACTTCTTGATTGTTACCTTGAATTCATTGGGTTCCCTTTCCATTCCCTCAATGCATATTCTTACTTCCAGAGGCTGTGTCATTGGACCTACCTTCCATTTTAATGTTCCTGCTCTGCGTTTTGGTGATGTTTCCTTTGGTGAGTACTTTTCCATTTTAAATTAGATATTGAGAAAAATTCCTTTTCCCTCTATGTGGGAGGGAGAAGGTTTACAAAGAATTTCTCTTGCCATTTTGTGTGGGCAATAGCTAAGAGGTTCTAGAATTGTTCTTCCGCTCCAGCACTTTGTTGCCATTTCCTAGTTTTAGGTGAACATTTTAGTCTTGTGCTGGACACTAGTAGTTGTTAGGCTGTGGCTGTCCACCCCACTTCCTGCACTAGAACAACAGAATGCTTTATGTTTCACTCCACTATCTGAACATTCTGAACACTCTTTTTTTCTGCAGATTTTGACTTCCCACTTTGGCTACACAGCCTGTCAACAGAGATGCTCTCAAATTTAAAGTGAACTCAATGGTGGTTTAAGTCAGGTGTTTTATCACTTCAAATTAAAGACTCTTCTTTATTGTTGTATAGACTTTTTACTCACTTGCTTCACTGAGTCATTGTCTCCCATCTGAACTTCCCCAATAATAGAAATGATAACAACAGTGGAAGGAAATTTACTTATTAATTGGTTCTTTCTTGCAGTCCAATTGCTGCTAAGTAATAATATGAAATATGACATTTAAACACATTAGCAATCCTAGGGTGAGACACTCTTTAAGGTTTACATTTTATAGATAGAAGACCTGAGCACTGAAACAGTTAAATAACTCCCAAAGGTCACACAGCTGTAGCAGAATTAGTATTTCAATTGAGATCTATCTAAATCATATTTTGTCACCTTGGGTGTTGACAGTTGCCCCTAGAGAAGCAAAAATTGATTCCTAGGGGTTGAGAAAACTTAGATACAACAGTGGTTTGTGTCCAAAGGTCCACCCTACCCAACAATCTTTTTCCTTGGTATTTATTTCTCTTGTTAGAGAGAATTGAGTCTAATTTAAGTCATATTTAATTAACTGATTTTATGATATAAAATTAGTTTATCACAATGGTTCTTTTTAGGAGGTGATAATTTTTTTAAAATTGAGAAACCCTAGTCTGAATCTTTATTCCTTAATTATTTCCATTTTGCTCTATTGTTTTCCATTTTGACTTTTATTTCTTTTGCTTCATTTCAAGTTGGCCCATCAAACTTGGGGAAAAATAGTTCTTAAGAAAAATCATAATGCCTTTATAAATTGCTTTAACACGTGGATGTTGTAAAAGTCTTTTAAAATTCAGAGCACATGTATTTATACAATGCCCCCATCCTGACCTATGGGTAAGGCACATACCATAAGAAAGTTTATATAAATGAAGTTGAATGTCTCTTCATATAGAATGTGAAAATGTCTAGAGAGATGTTTACAGATCTATAGGGCATATTTGAATGATAGACTCCTTTGAAGGAAAATAAAAGTGACCTGCAACTTGAAGGGTAACTGTGAAGGGTAACTGTGACAGATGCACAATAAGAGGCAATACAGAAGCTAGACTCTTGTGATATGAGAGGTTAGAAGACGGTACAGAGCCATGACCCAAGACTACCCAATTCTGAGATCTGAGAACTTACTCTCCTGAGTCCACCTTCAGAACCCAAATTGCCTTTTCTTTGAGTTTGGAGACGGATTCCTTAGTCTTCTCTCTGTTATGACAAGAAAGGTTAACAATAGCATACCCTTTTTTCTTGCCAACAGGAAGTCTAAGGTTGTTTGATTTTCATAACACTTGGGTCAGTGAATTCAAGCTACTTTTCTGTGCTTCTGGATTCTGCACTGTAATGACCAAAGTTAGGAACAGTTTTGTAACAATCTTTCAAAATTATCTTGTGATAATATTTCAAATTCCAAAATTGGAACTAGAGTCTTCATGACTCCAATACCAGGTATCCTGTATTTCTCCAGGTAGATGAGCCTCCTACCACAAAGAAACATGGTTCATTGAAGAATTATTTATTTGAAGTTCTCTAATTATTACCCCACCTATGCAGGTAGGGCTTTGATGAGAGAGATAAAATAAAGCATGTTACTGGCTCAGGGACAAAAGACTAATAGAGGTGTACATTGGTAGTTCCAGATGCAAGAGAGAAAAGAACTGTTACAGAAGACAGCCATACATTGGAGGACTTCTTAAATTATTTCAGGATGACAGATATATTGTATGGAGTTATGCAAGGTCTGCAGGGACTATAGTAGGGCTGGGTAGTACATTAGGGTAACTGAAGTTGATAATATCATCCCCTTATGGGCACTAAGGCCCATTCTTGAAGAGGCATTGGTTACGGGCTAATGGTAGAGATGTGGCATTTACTTGATTACAGATAAAGATCTAGATTTAGCATCACAGGGTCTGCTGGTTTTGATGATATTAGGATATTGTAATTATCATAAAGTAGGTAAGAGGTAATAGTACTATTGGTTGGTATCTAAAATATTTAAAGTATGGCTATAGCAAGCACAGATAAGAAAGCCTTCCTCAGTGATCAGTGCAAAGAAACAGGAAAAAAGCAGAATGGGAAAGACTAGAGATCTCTTCAAGGAAGTTAAAGATACCAAGGGAACATTTCACGCAAAGATGGGCTCAATAAAGGACAGGAATGGTATGGACCTAACAGAAGCAAAAGATATTAAGAAGAGGTGGCAAGAATACACAGAAGAACTGTACAAAAAAGATCTTCATGACCCAGATAATCACGATGGTGTGATCACTCACCTAGAGCCAGACATCCTGGAATGCGAAGTCAAGTGGGCCTTAGGAAGCATCACTATGAACAAAGCTAGTGGAGGGGATGGAATTCCAGTTGAGTGATTTCAAATCCTAAAAGATGATGCTGTGAAAGTGCTGCACTCAGTATGCCAGCAAATTTGAAAACTCAGCAGTGGCCACAGACTGGAAAAGGTCAGCCTTCATTCCAATCCCGAAGAAAGACAATGCCAAAGAATACTCAAACTACTGCACATTTGTACTCATCTCACATGCTAGTAAAGTAATGCTCAAAATTCTCCAAGCCAGGCTTCAACAATACATGAACTGTCAACTTCCAGATGTTCAAGCTGGTTTTATTAAAGGCAGAGGAACCAGAGATCAAATTGCCAACATCTGCTGGATCATCGAAAAAGCAAAAGAGTTCCAAAAGAACATCTATTTTTGCTTTATTGACTATGCCAAAACCTTTGACTGTGTGGATCACAACAAACTGTGGAAAATTCTGAAAGAGATGGGAATACCAGACCACCTGACTTGCCTCTTGGGAAATCTGTATTCAGGTCAGGAAGCAACAGTTAGAGCTGGACTTGGAACAACAGACTGGTTCCAAACTGGGAAAGGAGTACGTCAAGGCTGTATATTGTCACCCTGCCTGTTTAACTTATATGCAGAGTACATCATGTGAAATGCCAGGCTGGATGAAGCACAAGCTGGAATCAAGATTGCCGGGAGAAATATCAGTAACCTCAGATATGCAGGTGACATCACCCTTATGGCAGAAAGTGAAGAAGAACAAAAGAGCTTCTTGATGAAAGTGAAAGAGGAGAGTGAAAACGTTGGCTTAAAGCTTAACATTCAGAAAACTAAGATCATGGCATCCGGTCGCAAAGAGTCAGACACAACTGAGCGACTGAACTGAACTGCTTGAGATTGTGATTGTTGGATTGGATGTTGGATGTCATATCTAATAATTAATTAGTTTGACTAAAGCTACAGGATTGAGAGAGTTAAACTGTAGAATTTGGGTCGTGATTGTCCATGAAGGAACACTGGGACGTTGATAACTCCTCAGATTGATCAAGGAATGAAATGAACCAAATCATCAGTGGTATACCAGGTGATAGATCAAATGCGACAGGATAAGTATCTGCAGTCACTATTTTTTAGGAGGTACAAGAACTTGCTGAATGAGAATAAGGAAATTGGAAGGCTCTGGTTTCTCAGTGAACTTGACCATTAGATAATTTAGACAGAGAAGTTAGGGTTTGAGGGCAAAGTTGTTGGGATAAATAAATATAAGCGTCAAAAAATACACATGGCCCAGTATTAACTATCAGTATTTTACTCAAGGAGAAGTATTTAAGTTAACTTTAGGAAGGTGTAAAGTAGAGAGTTATGGGCAGAGCTTAACTGTCATGATCATAGGAAGTTCTTAGAAAGGTTGGCAGAAGAGATTATGGTAGGCATAAGCAAAGCCTAGATTTGAGTAAGGGATCATTAGCAGTAACGGAGAAGGCAATGGTACCCCACCCCAGTGTTCTTGACTGGAGAATCCCAGGGACGGGGGAGCCTGGACGGCTGCCGTCTATGGGGTCACACAGAGTCGGACACGACTGAAGTGACTTAGCAGCCGCAGAAGCTAAGGGAAACACAACAGCGGATATCAGAAGGGTTAGAATTAATATGACCTTAAGGTAGAGATAGAGAATAATATGGCAGAATGATAAGAATGAAAGTGTACAGGGTAAAGTGTGAAACTCAGTAATACCAGGTATGTTGCAAAATCTTGTTCTGTCACTCATGAGCAGAATCTTTCAACTTCATGTAGAGTCTGCTGTTTCTGAGGATCTTAGAATAGCAGTCTACTGCTGAGGTCACTGATTTCTGAAAGTTTATTTTAGCAAATTTCCACTTAAGATCTCCAGCTAGGGACTTCCCTGGTGGTCCAACAGTTAAGAATCCACCTTGCAATGCAGAGGATGGAGGTTTGATACCTGGTTTGGGAACTAAAGTTCCATGTGCTGCACAGTGTGGCCAAGATATTAAAAAAGAAAAGAAAAACTAAAGAATCTCTAGTAAGAGTAGTTTTCTACACATCTTCAGCCAGTAATTCAGTTTCTTTGGGCATCTTTTTATCCAAAGGCTCACCTCTCAGTTAGCTGCAGGGTCAGTTGTTAGAAGGCCGTAAAGACTACTGGTTTATTTTTTCATTTTTGAAGCTGAAAAAAGGGAAAATTTCTGAGGGTGAGTTTTTGAAAGTCTTCTTGAACTTATAGGTGAGTTGGTTCTAGACAATGTTTAGTTACATCTCTATTAAGGAAGCTTGATTCAGATTGATAAAGAGACTTGTAATCCCATGGCTCTTCTAGTTTTTATTTCCTAAGGTGAATAGCCTTTGAGTTTCCAGAGGGAGCTAACCTGGTCTGATAGACATTAGAACTAAAAGTAAAACTCTTCACTAAAGAAATCTAGGAGGCTTAGGAGCTTGGCCAGTTTAAGATCAGTAGTAAAATTTTTATTCTCTACATTTTCTAAAGATTGTGGATTGTGACATTTTTTAATCAAATGGTTAATACACTGTAGGATTCTTTATAACTCTTCTACATAAGGCTGGTGTTCCCCACGGGGGAAAGTTATCGAGTACAATGATTGAGTCGTATTTACAGCAGCAGCCTTTCTGTATAGGAAGGCTCAAATCTGTCTCGAGACAGACAATTACAACAACGTGTTTTAACTGTATAATTTTGGCATAGCCCATTTGTATTTGAAAGGTCCTCTGAAGTATGATTTAGACCCACAACTGACTGCACATTTTTTTCTGGAATATGATAGCAGGATGTAAGACAGGAGCCAGTTACAGAGGAGAAGTTTTCCTATCAACTCTTATTCAGAAATTATCTCCTTTATGATGGGACCTGTGGTATAAGATTTTTGTCAAAGACCAGCTCAGACTTTGGGGTACTTCATAGTTGGGGTATGAGAAACCAGTGAAGTGAACAGAGGATCCCATTTTTAAGTAATGTTTGTTTTCTAAGTCTGAATATTTTTATCTTCAAAATGGATTGTGCAAATGTGCCTATTGATCTCCTATATTGTGAAGTATTTCTATAGACAGCTACAAAAATACCATCTGTTTTTGCACAATGTTCTGCCAATACATTTCTCTTTGTTTTGTGGAGATTTTTATTTTACTAGAAAAATTAGGAATCCATTGTCTAAAATATCCAATGAATTCCCAAAAGTCTGTCACTTGTAATTTAATGTTTGGTCTTGGGTATTGCTGAATCAGTTTAACACCCTTCTTAGTTAGGATCCATTATTGGTAGAGAGATAATGTTCCAAACAATATACCACCTTTTGTCAGAATTGAAAATTTTCCTTTGTAGCCTTGTGGTCTTTTGTCCCTAGTTTCCTTAAGTTTCTTTTTAGGGGCTTCCTAGGTCAGATGAAAATATACATCTTGAATGAGAATCAAACCTCCTGAGACTACAATCTTTTAAATCATTATTTAAGTACTGAGAGAGTTATGAAGGTGTCTCTTTGAGTCTTTGAGGCATTCTGGCCAAGTGTGTTGTTAATTATTTGAAGAAAAGACACATAGATGTTGATTTTTTTTAATGTATTATATGTAAAGTACTTGCATTCAGATGGACAGTAGAATAGTAATTCAGATTTGATGCAACCAGAAACCTAGGAATAACATTTGTATTAATGAATGTTTGATCTTTAATAAAGCAATATCTTCTTTTGGGGGGCTTCTACACAAGCAATACAGGCTATTAGAAGTAGTTGTACAAGGAATTGTTCTAGCTAGAAGGTTGTAATTGACTTTATTCTCAGAAAAACTTACAGATTCAGGAACGTAGTCTGGGCAGTGGTTTGGAAAGATACATGTGAACCTTTATAGGATCCACTTCCAAATTACATCATACATTTGAAAAGTGTTTATCCCGTAAATGATAAGGTAAAATAAGGAAGAATCTGTAGTTTTAAGAGTCATTTTGAAAAATTTCAGAGAAGTCAGATGAAGCAATTATATGATTGTGAAAATGACTTTCTAGCAATACCTCTGGAATTTCCAAGAATAAGCTTTCAAGTGCCCTTAATCACACAATTCTTCCATAAAATGTCTCTTCCAAGGAGGTGTGAAATTATGAGGGAGACGTGGATGTGTTTCCTTCAACAGTCCTAATGTGTAGACAAAGGCTCAGATGGGGAGAAGTAGATCAGTTCAAAATATCCCCAGCAGTGCTGCAGCAATTACTCCAGGAGACCGGTTGTATTTTATCACAGTAGGTTTCAACATAGAAAGAGAAGTGTTTACATCCAGTAGAAATATGCATGTTTATTCTCTTATGGTTTTAGATCATTCTTGTTCTGAAAATGGTAGCAGATACAGTGACCACCTAGGGAATCCAAAATCAGAGTTTGGTTTATTGCTTGCCAGGCAAGAAGGAGCCACATCTCTTAGGAAAGAAACACGAATCTCCCTGAACTGAATGTAGGAGGGCTAGAAATAACATTAAATAACATTAAAAAGCAGTTTTGTCTCAGGGAGGTGAAAGCTTTGGCCAGCTAGTCTTTGGCCAGCTCAAAAGCAGGTCGTAAAGTCTCTCTCAGGAGAGCCTATTATTCGATTTTGTGTCATCTACTCTAAGAGCAAGAGCCTCAGACAAGTCAAGGATGAATTATATAATGTGTTGGCAGGCTCTGGGTCACACAGCAAGCAAAACTGCGTGGGCTTTTCCTTTCACACACCAGCAAATAAAAAGAGCAAATATCCTCCTATTCTTTGGGGAAAATTGTATTTCTATGTAAAAATCAAATGCAAAATGTGCTTCTAGAAGATTACTCAACAAACTGATTATAGAGACCGCCTCTGGAGAGGGGACTGGATAATGACAGAGTGGTTTGTTTCATGTCTATTGTTGTTACATAGTAAGTGCATAGCAAGTACTCATTGAATGAATGAGTGAAATGTATTTATTTCCTGGTTGTGCAACTAAAAACAGTACCAGGGAGAGTTGGAAATAAATAGCAGTGATGAACTGCATGTCTAATTCATTTAAGAGGTTTGGCACTGAGAGGGGAGGTTGAAGTTAAAGGGAAGATCTCATAGGGCATCTATTTCTCACCTTATATTTTGTTTTCCAGGGTTTCCTCATACCTTGATATGTTCCCTCAATAATACCTCCTTGGTCCCCATGACCTTCAAACTGCGTGTCCCTGGGGATGGCGTTGGCCAGCAAAGCATTTCAAGTTCTGAGCAGTATTCAGACAACAAAAAACCATTTTGGAACAAGGATGAATTGCCTGTAATAAGACCAAAAGAATTCACCATAACCCCCAGCTGCGGCACCATTCGCTCCCAAGGATTTGCTGCTATCAGGGTAAAGTGCTCAGCCTTCCAGCATATGTAGCCATACAGCTGACTGTCAAATAGTTACTGAGACCACATCTAGCATTTGCTTTATATGCCCAGTGTCAATGAGAGGGAGTGCCTCTAATTCACATGGAAAAGTGGGTATATTTCTACGAGGAAATAAACTACTGTGGCAGAAGAAACCAGATACAAATATATTGGGCCAAAGAACTGACACTGCTTCAGTAGGTTTCCATCAGTCTAAATGCATTGCCTTTATCAGAACAGTGGATTCTAGCAGTTTCTGCTGAAATCACTGCTCTGTGCCTAATAGTGCACTCATCAATACTAATATAAAAATATTTAAGAGCTCATTGACAATCAGGTCCTCCTTTAGACTCAAATCATTTATACTAGTAAGTATCCAGGTTTATGCCCCAGATGATATCCAGTTTATTCAAATTTTTAACCTGAATCTGAGCTTCCTGGTGAATGTGGATGTGATGTTTCCAGCAGTGCTTTAAGGTCCACAGTGTGATGCTTGGCTTATGGCCTCGTAGTGCCAACAGCAGAATTGTTCCAGTGCTAACTGAGAAAGGTTTTTGCTGTCTCCCATCACTTATTTTTTGCTTCTCCAAGCAGTTAGGTCTAGCAACACAGAAGGCTGCTAAATTTAAATGATTTTTATCTTTTCTGGAAAAGAAAAAAAAATGACTTCACAACTAAGGTGATAATTTTCTCTTTAGTCATTACCTTTCAATATTTAATTCAGCTTTGAGTTTTACCCCCCAAATTTGCTTTAAATGCTTCATAATATCTCACCATGAATTTATTCATCCTAAATATATTCTAGGAGATTTCAGCTTTTCTAAGGTCTTCTTAAGGGATACAGTGAGGTTTGTTATTGCATGTTGTTGTAACTTCCCATTTGGGCTCCTGTTACAAAAGACCAGAGACTGGGTGGCTTGTAAACATCAGAAATTTATTCTTACAGTCTGGAGGCTGGAAGTCTGAGGTCAGAGTACCAGCATGGTAGGGTTCTGGTGAAGGCCATTTTTCAGATTTCAGACTGCTGATATCTCCTTGTATCCTCACCTGGTGAAGGGACGAGGGAGCTGTCTGGGGCCTCTTAGAGGGGCACTCATCCTGCTCAAGAGGGCTCCACCCTCATGACCTCATAACCTCCCAAAGGCCCTACCTCCTAATAATCAGCACATTGAGAGTTAGGATTTCAGCGTATACATTTGGGGTGGGAGGTAGGGACATCAGCATTCAGATCAGAGCAGTTGCTAATTGTGACTTGCCCAAGGAGAGGTGCAGCTGCAATGAATGAATTTATTTTTTACAGAGTAATGCTTAGCTTACATATTACCTACCATTCCCCCCTTTTGTGGATCTTCTGTGTAGTTCAGGAAGATTCTCGAAGACAGCATCTATCCAGCAGGTTTCTTCCAGAACCACTTCCTCTAACCAGAGCTCAGAGATATTAGTCAGGGTTAGAGCCACTCCAGGAATCTGGAGCTGTAGTGGCTGCTTCTCTCCAAAGCTGCCAAGTTTTCCTTCTAAATCAGCGACTCCCTTTGCTTTATTTTTCCTTTGTATTTCAGAAAGTTTTCTCCAAGCCTCAGTTTTCCCTCCTGATCTGCACTTTAACCACATCTATCTGGATTCAGATTTGCATCCAACAAATCCCTTTCCAACCAAAAAAATTTTAATTAGTACCTGATGCATAATTTATAGATAGAAGAGCCATAACCTATGCCAGAAGCTGTTTTCTACACTTAACAAGTATCTCTTCCAATACAAATCATTTAAAGCAATTAAAAATTGTGACAAGGCTTCAAAAACCTAAGTGTCAAGTTTCACAACAATAAATACAAACATAGGGTAAAATATATTGGTCAGATACTGCCCTTGGATTAACCTTTCTTCAGAGTTTCCTGTTTTCTGCTCTAATAATGAATATGGGAGGTGGGGAGGAATGACAAGATTTTGGTTAAAAAAAAAGATTTATTCCTCACACTATTTCTATCACTGACTTGGTTATATTCATTTATTTTGCCTTAAGTGAAATCTAGCTGTAGTGTTTTGTTGGTGTACTGAATTTTCAGAATTTATATAGCCCAGAGGCATAGGGAACACTTTAAATTGCAGTAATTAAAGTTTGTTTGATGTTGATGTTCTTCAGGGCCTGGTTTCCCCTCATGCCAGATACTACCTTTGATACTCCTTTGATACTACCCCCTCAGAATTCAGCAGACCTATTATACCAAAAGCCATTTGTTAGAATCTAACCTGGCCTTTGAAACAACTCAGCATGCCCTGACCCTGAAATGGAACCTGTTTAACTAAAAATGTTAAATGCCATACATCCTCTAATAAAGTACTTAGAAACCACACTCCTCCATGTGGTCCTCTCCTGGCCCCCTTCTCCCCTGTGCAGGGGGAGAGCTGGCCTTTTAGAAGAGCAGCTTTTTACCTTTTTCTTTCTAGGTGACGTTATGCTCCAACACTGTGCAGAAATATGAGCTGGCCCTGGTGGTAGATGTGGAGGGCATCGGGGAGGAAGTGCTGGCACTCCTAATCACAGCAAGGTACCGTGCTCACCTGCTTTCTCTTTCCCAGTCTCCCCCAAGCCACCAGTAATGGGCTGGCTCTCGGGAAGGAAGGCAGCACAGGAGCAACCAACCAGTTTACTGCCTTTCCTGAGAAAGGAGGAAGCATCTGATATTGGAGTGATACAGTTTTATATGAGAAAACGCATCTTTGGTGGAGATATGAGGGGGGATATGTATGTTAGGTGTTAAGTATAATAGTGCTCTTTAATGGGTCTGATTTTCCGTATATACTTTACAAGGTTTTATCAGGAAGAGATGAGCAGTTGCTGGTTTTTATTTTTATCTTTAAAGATAGTACTCCAGAGTTCTGCAGCAGAAAGAGTGGTGCCCATAGCCCTGCTCCAGGACATTGTCAGTAGGACTTAAAGGCAGGCTGCAAGTGGCCCCCCAAAACAAGGCCCTCACTAACATCATAAACTCCTCAGAACCATCACAGCTTGTCTCTCTTTTTCAATAGAGGCAACAGTGCATCCTGGAGTCAGGGTAAGATCCGGGCTCTGACATTTGTTGACTGTGTCTCCTTCACTAAGTTTACAGCCTTTCTAAGTGAGGTGTGTCACCTAATGATGCTGCCCATGGTCCTAAATAAAATTACAGGCCGTGCTCTTGCCAAAGTAAACAAGTGTCCAGATCTGGGACCTGATAGTGTGCATGAAAATGCCATCTGAAGGAAACAGGCAGTATTCTAGTACCTAGAATATAGGACCCTCATGAATCTTAGGAAGATGCACCTTAAAGAAGGTAAAGGTATGCTGGTTGGTGGGGTCATCATAACCAGCACCATTTCCTCTGTCTTGGGCTTGAGTGAAGTCAGGGGGCAGCCCTAAAATAACTTGGAAGGTCAAGTTCTTGCCACAATCTGCTTAATATTCCCTCCAGAGAGCTCACTAATCATTTGTTTAAGAACAGTGGAAAAACCCTTTTGTTTGGTCTTCTCTATCCCAAAGTTTGACCTTTTGTCTAGTCTTGCATTTCTTTTTTATTTTTCTTTTATTCTGATACTTTCCAATGCCTTTTCCATGCAGCTCTAAGTAGAAAATCCTGAATTTTAAAAAGGTGGGGAATGGGTTATAGGAGGCTATGAGTTTTCTAGCATGTGTACTCTGTGACCAAGTCAAGTGCTATGAGTCCTGTCAGCTCCAGTGTTTCAGGTAGTAAAGGATAAGCTTTACCAAAATCATTGGGTCAACTGACAACTCCCATTCTAACTAAAAGTGAACCCTCATCTTCTGCTAAAACCCAAACTTGAGGTCGAGACTCTTGTGTCACTACTTTTGGAGCAGTCTGTAAGGACTGCTCAGAGACTCTCAACAGAGAGCTACTTTTAGAACGTGCTCCCCAAAGTGATTCTCCCAGAGAGCCAGCAGTGCAACTGGTCGGGCAGGGACCACGGGCTCATCACCTTGTACTAAGCCATCAGGTGGTCCTGTGCCATGCCTTCATTCACACCATCTTCTGTGTTTCCCCAGGAAGAGCTGATGCCAATGTCAGTCCCTCAGATTACCTTCTTTCTACCTATGAGCAAAAATGGGGCTCTGGGAGGGAGAGCAGCTGGCTCAAGGCTGTGCTTGGTGAGGCCAGTATTTGAACCTGGCTCTGACAGATTCACACGCCAGCACTCCTCACCATGGCACCATGTTGTGAAAGTGCAGCAGGGAAGGGCAGACCTGGGGACTTAACAGATACAAAATAAAACCCAGGTCACCTAATAATAGGCCAGTCTGCACACACAGGCCTTCCATCCCTCCCTCCTGTCCCCCACAACACCCCCTTCACACTGAGCACCACTGTCACAGTGCCAGTTCTGGGTCAAGCAGCTGCCTGAGCCAACTGATCCAAGGCAGCTGTTCCTCATGGAAATTAGAATTAGTACCGTTATTTAGATGGTGCGAGCTATTGCTGGTCCTCAGGGGACTCTGACTGGTCCAAAGTGTCACAGCGAGTCAGCACCCCATGCTGGTGGCATGGGCCCTGTTTGCCATGGAAACAGATCCACTATCCTAAGGAACTTGTGCTTTGGGGGCTTCTTGCCAGAGAAAGGCCAAGTATGAAAAACAATGGAAATGTTAGTCATTACCCACAGAAGACAGTGTTTAAGGCATCCTGCTTCTAGCCCCCCCGCTTTTTTTAAAATTAAAAAGTGGTTACTAGGGGCTTAGAGAGAGGGATGACAGGAGAGAAGATGTGAAAATGATTAATATGGTTATTAGAGGAAAACTAGTGTGTGACAGTGACAAATGTGTTTAACTTGGGACTGCGTCCTCCATATGTAAACAAGCTCTCCCTTCATCCTTTTGAATTCTTTAATGGGCTCCTTCCCTCGAGCAGGTGTATTGTACCTACCCTCCATGTGGTTAATACAGAGGTGGACTTTGGGCGTTGCTTCCTGAAGTATCCATATAAGAAAACGATCCAGCTTGTCAATGATGATGACCTCCCAGGATGCTTTCGGGTCCTGCCTCAGGCGAGTTACTCTATCCATTTTCAGAGTTGCTTTTTATTCAGTTGGATTCCTTCAGTGAGAAAGAGAAGTCCTTTGAAAGAGCCATATTCCTGACCACATGATCTACGTAAATTCTGATTTTTAACTGTGGGATAACCTGGGGGTGGGGTTATAAAGCCACAGCTGTATTGCCCCCTGTAGGAGTGAGCAGCTGCAGGTGGAAACAGTTGTTTTTTTGAAGGAAATTACCTTTGATAAAGAGGGGAAAGGGTCAATTAGGCCAACATGCAGAAGTTGCACCTGCAAATTATTGCCTGTGAATTCACCATGCATGGGAAATAAGGCAGAGCTGGGAGTTTTCATTTATGTCTGTGCTGTGACTTGAACTGAATCACTAAGATATGCTAATACAGTATTTATAAATGAACTTTTTGCACCAGAAAGTTAGAGATAATATATGAAGGAGAAAGGAGGAACTTTTCTTTAATGTTTTATGAAATGGATCTATCCACATGCCATTATACCTATCTAGGTGGGAGACTAAGTACTTAAACACATTTGGAAAAATGATTCAAAAATATCTGTATAGACTACAGTAAATGGAAAGTGACTAATGAGATACAGTTTACCAAGAAAGTGTTTGGGTTTAAAACTCCATTCTATAAGTACTACTCTAATAAAAATTCATGCAGAAAATCAAATGATTTTATTTGGCTACAAGTGCAAAATAAAAAACCAGTGAGGTGACTCCATGGTGCAATGGATAGTGCACTGGACTTCCAAAAGACCAGTGTTGGGGCCACAGAACCAAGGCAGGTTTAGGCTGCATCAGAGAAACACAGTATTCCACAGCTAGAGGAAGGAGAGAGCCACCTGTCAGAGTAGTGCTGGAGTGTTGTCTTCAGCTCTTGACAGGATGTTTTTTTAATGGAAACTTGAAAAATATAGAGTTCAGAGTAACCAGAATGTCAACCTAAGTCATTTGGAAACCCAAGTCATCTGAGGAGCAGGCATAGCGTCTAACCTGGAACAGACAATTAACTGGAATGAAATAGCTATCTCTAGTCAAAGGACTACTGTATTAAAAAGGAAATTCAAATCATTCTGTGGGCTTCTCTGAGACAAAACCAGAAGCTAAGAATGAATGGGGGTGACAGGAGACAACTTTTCTAGTTTTCAGATGTTCAACAGCAGAACAGGCTGGCCACTCACAGCGCTTGGTCACCTTAAGAACTCAAAACAGAGTCTGAGTCACATAGAGTGATGGGGAAGCTGTTACTGCACAGCTGGGCTGGGAAAGGGTGAGGCACTAGCCTCAGGGGGACCAAAACAGTAATCAAGATAGACAGTGTTTTCATGCCACACTTGAAGAAATCAAAAGTATCACAAAAAATCCATGATAAATAAGGTATCAAAACATTTGGTAAAGATGTAATCAGACTGATTTTCCTTTGGCCTCAGGGTCCAGGAAGGCTAGGCAGATCATTGCCACAGAGGGATGTTGAGTTATGATTAGGTAAAGTTGGACCAGACCAGGTACAGAAAAACCATGGGGCACTCCAGGCAGGTGAAACTGGCACCGCTGTCCTTCCTTCCAGCAGTGGGGGCTCTGAAAAGTGTTTCCCCAAATTATTCAAACTTATTTGACTGTGGGATTTATAAAAAAAAATTTTATTGAAGGATAATTGCTTTACAGAATTTTGTTATTTCCTGTTAAACTTCAACATGAATCAGCCATAGGTATACATATATCCCCTCCCTTTTGAACCTCCCTCCCATCTCCCTCCCCATCCCACCCCTTTAGGTTGATACAGAGCCCCTGTTTGAGTTTCCTGAGACATACAGCAAATTCCCGTTGGCTATCTATTTTACATATGGTAATATAAGTTTCCATGTTACTCTTTTCATACATCTCACCCTCTCCTCCCCTCTCCCCAAGTCCATAAGTCTGTTCTCTATGTCCGTTTCTCCATTGCTCCCCTGTAAATAAATTATTCAGAACCATTTTTCTAGATTCTGTATATGTGCATTAGAATATGGTATTTATCATTCTCTCTCTGACTCACTTCATTCTGTATAATAGGTTCTAGGTTCATCCATCTCATCAGAACTGACTCAGATGTGTTCCTTTTTGTGGCTGAATAATATTCCATTGTGTATATATACCACAACTTCTTTATCCATTCATCTGTCGATGGACATCTAGGTTGCTTTCATGTTCTAGCTATTGTAAATAGTGCTGCAGTGAACAGTGGGATACATGTGTCTCTTCCAATTTTGTTTTCCTCAGGGTGTATGCCTAGGAGTGGGATTGCTGGGTCATAAGGTGGTTTTTTCCCTAGTTTTTGAAAGAATCTCCATACCATCTTCCATAATGGCTGTATCAATTTACATTCCCACCAACAGTGCCAGAGCGTTCCCTTTTCTCCACATCCTCTCCAATATTTATTGTTTGTAGACTTTTTCTTTTTTTTTTTGAGTTACAAGTGCTACCTACTATATTTATTCCAGATCACAGTGATTAACTAGAAACAGTTGTGATAAGAAGTCACGTTGCTTGGATTCAAAACTTGGATAGGCCAGTCAACACTTGTATAACATCAGACAAGTAGCTTTCTTCTCTAAGTCTCAGCTTTCTCCTGCAAGAAGCAAGCTGTTTCATAAAGCTGTTCTACAGTGCCGTCGTTTATTGCCAAGCTACCCGTGTATGTATAGGTTATTATTATCTGTAAGGTGGCTGAATCCACATTCCTCAGGTGTATGTGTGTCTGTTTGCTTTCACTTAGTCCACTCATGAACATGGCCCTAAAATAAGAGCTACATGTTCCAAGAACCATCTTATGACAAGGGAATTCAGTGCCCTCAACAATTAACACTATGTCAGTAAACAACTGCTGTTCATAAAACAATTTTAACTGCTCCAACAAGGACACAGCATATTCAGTATTGATCTGCTTCTCCTCTTGAGTGGACATGACTGTATTCCATTAATATCTCCAGGAACAGATTAGAGTAAAGTCAGTCTTACTGATGGAAGGTCAAGTGAATGCTTCAGAAATAAAGAAAGGAGAAACTCTGCTCGCTGTTATCTGCAGCATTCAGAACCAAGACTGACACACTCACTAATGAATAGTATCTTGCTATAGGCTTAGAATCACTACTAGGTCATCCTGTGTTAATTAGGTTCTTGAGAGTTTTTCAACACAGTCTGCACACATCTTGCTCAAATTTGCAACTGTTCATCTCAAAAGAGAGTAACACACGAGGTAGATTTTGTGGCAACATCCTGTGTTCAGTGGATCCTCTGGAGTAACCGAGTCCCTCAGTCCTGAGGGTTGGGATCCAGTGCGGCCGGCGCCCCAAAGACGCTGGGCCCCAGGAGCGCGGTGGCGGGGGCGTGGCCCTCCCGCAGCTGTAGACTTTTTCATGATGGCCATTCTGACTGGTGTGAGGTGATATCTCATTATGGTTTTGATTTGCATTTCTCTAATAATGAGTGATATTGAGCATCTTTTGATGTGTTTGTTAGCCATACAGGTTATGTCTTCTTTGGAGAATGTCTTTTTAGGTCTTTTTCCTACTTTTTGATTGGGTTGTTTATTCTTCTGGCATTGAGTTGTATGAACTGCTTGTATATTTTGGAAATTAATCTTTTGTCAGTTGTTTCATTTGCTGTTATTTTCTCCCATTCTGAGGGCTGTCTTTTCACCTTGCTTATAGTTTCCTTTGCTGTGCAAAAGCTTTTAAGTTTAATCATGTCCCACTTGTTTACTTTTGCTTTTATTTCAAGTTCTCTAGGAGGTGGGTCATAGAGGATCTTGCTTTGATTTATGTCATCAAGTGTTCTGCCTATTAGTATTCCTCTAAGAGTTTTATAGTTTCTGGTCTTATACTTAGGTCTTTAATCCATTTGGAGTTTATCTTTGTATGTGGTGTTAGGAAGTGTTCTACTTTCATTCTTTTACACGAAGCTGTCCAGTTTTCCCAGCACCATTTATTGAAGAGTCTGTCTTTGATCCATTGTATATTCTTGCCTCCTTTGTCAAAAATAAGGTACCCATAGGTGCATGGGTTTATTTCTAGGTTTTCTATCTTGATCCATTGGTCCATTTCTGTTTTTGTGCCAGTAGCATACTGTCTTGAAGACTGTAGCTTTGTAGTATAATCTGAGTCAGGAGGGTTAATTCCTCCAACTCCACTCTTCTTTCTCAAGACTGCTTTGGCCATTTGGGGTCTTTTGTGTTTCCACATGAATTGTGGAATTTTTTTTGTTCTAGTCCTGTGAAAAATGCCACTGGTAATTTGATAGGGATCACATTGAATCTGTCGATTGCATTTGGTAGTATAGTCATTTTCACAATTTTTATTCTTCCTACCCGGGAACATGGAATATCTCTCCATCTGTTTATGTCATCTTTGATTCCTTTCATTAGTGTCTTATAATTTTCTGTGTACAGTTCTTTTGTCTCCTGAGGTAACTTTATTCCTAGATGTTTAATTATTTTTGTTGCAATGGTGAATGGGATAGATTCCTTAATTTCTCTTTCTGATATTTCATTGTTAGTATATAGAAATGCAAGTAATTTCTGTGTATTGATTTTGTATCCTGTAACTGCTAAATTCACTGATTAGCTCTATTAATTTTCTGATACTATCTTTAGGGTTTTCTATGTATAGTATCATGTCATCTGTGAGAGCTTTACTTTTTCTTTTCTGATCTGGATTCCTTTTATTTCTTTTTCTTCTCTGACTGCTGTAGCTAGGACTTCCAGAACTGTGTTGAATAATAGTGGGGAGAGTGGACACCCTTGTCTTGTTCCTGATCTTAAGGGGAATGCTTTCAGTTTCTCACTAGAATAATGTTTGCGGTAGGCTTATATATATGGCCTTTACTATGTTGAGGTAGGGTCCTTCTATGCCCATTTTTTGAAGAGTTTTAATCATAAATGGTGCTGAATTTTGTCAAATGCTTTTTCTGCATCTATTGAGATTATCATTTGGTTTTTATCTTTCAGTTTGTTAATATAGTGTATCACATTGATTGATTTGGGTATATTGAAGACTCCTTGCGTTCCTGGAATAAACCCAACTTGATCATGGTGTATGAGCTTTTTGATGTGTTGCTGAATTCTGTTTGCTAAAATTTTATTGAGGATTTTTGCATCTATGTTCATCAGTGATATTGCCCTGTAGCTTTCTTTTTTTGTGTTGTCCTTGTCTGGTTTTGGTATCAGGGTGATGGTGGCCTTGTAGAATGAGTTTAGAAGTGTTCCTTCCTCTGCAATTTTTTGAAAGCATTTTAGAAGCATAGGCATTAGCTCTTCTCTTTATGTTTGATAGAATTCTCCTGTGAAGCCATCTGGTCCTGGGCCTTTGTTTTGGGGGAGATGTTTGATCACAGCTTCAATTTCAGTGCTTATAATTGGGTTGTTCATAATTTCTATTTCTTTCTGGTTCAGTCTTAGAAAATTGAACTTTTCTAAGAATCTTTGCATTTCTTCCAGGTTTTCCATTTTATTGCCATATAGTTGTTCATAAGTATAGAAAACCCCATGGACGGAGGAGCCTGGTAGGCTACAGTCCATGGGGTTGCTAAGAGTTGGACCTGACTGAGCGACTTCGCTTTCACTTTTCACTTTCATGCATTGGAGAAGGAAATGGCAACCCACTCCAATGTTCTTGCCTGGAGAATCCCAGGAACAGGGGAGCCTGGTGGGCTGCCATCTCTGGGGTTGCACAGAGTTGGACACAACAGAAGTGACTTAGCAGCTTAGCAGCAGCAGCAATTGTTCATAATAGTCTCTGATAATCCTTTGTATTTCTGCATTGTCTGTTGTAACCTCTCCTTTTTCATTTCTAGTTTTGTTAATCTGATTCTTCTCTCTTTTTTCTTGATGAGTTTGGCTGAAGGCTTGTAAATTTTGTTTATCTTCTCAAAGAACCATCTTTTAGTTTTATTAATCTTTATTATGGTTTCTTTCATTTCTTTTTCATTTCTTTCTGCTCAGATCTTTATAATTTCTTTCCTTCTACTAATTGTGGGTCTTTTTTCTTCATTTTTCCAGTTGTTTGAGGTGTAAAGTTAGGGTGTCTATTCAATGTTTTTCTTGTGTCCTGAGGTAGGATTGTATGGCTAGAAACTTCCCTCTTAGAACTGCTTTTGCTACATCACATAGGTTTTGAGTTGTGTTTTCATTGTAATTTGTTTCGAGAAATTTTTTTATTTCCCTTTTGATTTCTTCAGTAACCTGTTGGTTCTTTAGAAATGTGTTGTTTAATCTCCATGTGTTTGTGTTTCTTACAGTTTATTTCTTGTAATTGATATCTAGTCTCATAGTGTTGTGGTCGGAGAAGATGTCTGATACAGTTTCAATTTTCTTAAATTTACTGAGGTTTGATTTGTGACCCAAGATGTGGTCTATCCTGGAGAATGTTCCATGTGCACTTGAGAAGAAGGTGTATTCTTCTCCATTTGGATGAAATGTCCCGAAGATATCAATGAGATCCATCTCATCTGATGTATAATTTAAGCCTTGTGTTTCCTTACTAATTTTGTCTTTTGATGATCTGTCCTTTGGTGTGAGTGGGATGTTAAAGTCTCCTACTATTATTGTGTTACTGTCAATTTCTTCTTTTATGTCTATTAGTGTTTGTCTTATGTATTGAGATGCTTCTATGTTGGGTGCATAGATATTTACAATTGTTATGTCTTCCTCTTGGATTGATCCCTTGATCATTATTTAGTGTCCCTCCTTATCTCTTGTACTCTTTTTTATTTTAAGATCTATTTTGTCTGATATGAGGATTGCTACTCCAGATTTCTTTTGCTTCCCATTTGCATGGAATATATTTTTCCATCCTCTCACTTTCAGTCTATGTGTGTCTTTAGGTCTGAAGTGGATTTCTTGTAGACAGTATATATATATGGGTCTTATTTTTGTATCCATTCAGCCAGTCTGTGTCTTTTGGTTGGAGCATTTAATCCATTTACATTTAAAGTAATTATTGATATATATATATTCCTATTGCCATTTTCTTAAATGTTTGGGGTTGATTTTGTAGATCTTTTTCTTTTGTATTTCTTGACTATTTAAGTCCCTTTGACATTTGTTGTAAAGCTGGTTTGGTGGTACTGAATTCTCTTAACTTTTGCTTGTCTGAAAAGTTTTTTATTTCTCCCTCAGTTTTGAATGAGATCCTTGTTGGGTACAGTAATCTTGGTTGTAGATTTTCCCCTTTGAGTACTTTAAATATATCCTGCCATTCCCTTCTGGCCTGCAGAGTTTCTGCTGAAAGATCAGCTGTTAAACGTATGGGGTTTCCCTTATATGTTACTTGTTGCTTCTCCCTTGCTGCTTTTAATAGTCTTTCTTTGTGTTTAGTCTTTGTTAGTTTGATTAGTATGTGACTTGGCGTGTTTCTCCTTGGGTTTATCCTGTATGGGACTCTGTGCCTGTTGGACTTTATTGACTATTTCCTTTTCCATGTTGGGGAAGTTTTCAGCTATAATCTCTTCAAGGGACTCTGTGCCTGTTGGACTTGATTGACTATTTCCTTTTCCATGTTGGGAAAATTTTCAACTATAATCTCTTCAAAAATTTTCTCATATCCTTTCTTTTTCTCTTCTTCTTCTGGGACCCCTATAATTCAAATGATGGTGCATTTAATGTTGTCCCAGAGGTCTCTGAGACTGTCCTCAGTTCTTTTCATTCTTTTTACTTTATTCTGTTCTTCAGAAGTTATTTCCACCATTTTATCTTCCAGCTCACTGATTCATTCTTCTGCTTCAGCTATTCTGCTATTAATTCCTTCTAGACTATTTTTAATTTCAGTAATTGTGTTTTTTGTCTCTGCATGTTTATTCTTTAATTCTTCTAGGTCTTTGTTAATTGATCCTTGCATTTTCTCCATTTTGTTTTCAAGGTTTTTGATCATCTTTACTATCATTATTCTGAATTCTTTTTCAGATAGTTTGCCTATTTCCTCTTCATTTATTTGGACTTCTGTGTTTCTAGTTTGTTCCTTCATTTGTGTAGTATTTCTCTGCCTTTTCATTAGTTTTTTTTAACTTACTGTGTTTGAGGTCTCCTTTTTTCCAGGCTTCAAGGTTGAATTCTTCCTTCCTTTTGGTTCTGCCCTCATAAGGTTGGTCTAGTGGTTTGTGTAAGCTTCTTATAGGGTGAGATTTCTGCTGAGTTTTTGTTTGTTTGTTTTTCCTCTGATGGGCAAGGCTGAGTGAGGTGGTAATCCTGTCTGCTGATGATTGGGTTTGTATTTTTGTTTGGATGAGGCGTCCTGCCCAGGGTGCTACTGATGGTTGAGTGATGCCAGGTCTTGTATTCAGGTGGTTTCCTTTGTGTGAGTTCTCACTATTTGATACCCACTAGGGTTAGTTCTCTGGTAGTCTCGGGTCTTGGAGTCAGTGCTCCCACTCCAAAGGTGCAGACTTGATCTTGTTCAGGGGTGACTGTTGTTTAAGGAAATGTCCCTCTTGTATGTCTGTGGCTTAGAGTTGTATGTTGTGGCTTCTTTCAAACCTGAACAACTGTGGTGGTAGCCTGGCAGCCTGCTCCGGTGTCCAGGTGGATGACTGAGCGCCCCAGGCGGTGGCTTGGGTGTGGGCTCCGACTGTGGGATTTTTAAAGTTTTATTTGTGTTACATAAAAACTTAGTAATGTGCTGCAGAACAGGGTTCTTAGGAACACGCACTAGTAAACAATGGACAACGTTCATTCACCTACCTGTTTTTTCCATTTAAAAAACATACTGAGCATGTGTTTTGGGCCAGAAAGTGGGCAGGTATTGAGGAGAGAGGCCCAGGTCATGCCCTAAGACGTTTATAGCCCTTGGAGAAGATGGACATGTTGATAGCACATGCTGAGGAAAGGGACTGAGGGATGCTCCCTGAGAACAAAGGAAGTGCCTGGACTTTAGGGCCCAGACACCCCTGGGGGTTTCAGGATGAGTGGGGGGCAGGTCAGAGGGTACAGGCATTGCAGAAAGAATAACTGCAAGTGCAAGGCGTTAGAGGTGAAAGCAGTATCATGTGTTCAGGAAATGCCAGTGGCCTCTACTGATCGAGTGTACAGCGTTGAAGTGGACGGGGATTAAAGCATGAAGGTGCAAAAGGCCTGTTCAAGGAATTTGGCCATGGGAAACCATTGTTCCTGAGCTAATTCACATTGTGGATGATTCTGCACTTTTCTGGGTCACACACTTTGGATTTGGGGCTTGTACACCTCTCTTAGCCAGAGTTCCTTTTGGTTAAATTGAGGTGGTCATCCCCATTCACTTGCTTTAACAACGGTACATTATAAGACCCTCTGTGGCTTCAGGACAATGCTTGTTTCAAAATAATGTAACATGCTACTGGTTTCATACTGAACCTGGGGCTTACTTATCCTTCTAGTTTCTCTCCCTGACCAGGTATATCAGGATGTCCCCACTGTGCTGCTCTCTAGTCCCACGCCCTGTGGCATCATCGCTCCACACAGCACAGTTCACATACCTCTGACCCTGGAGACCCAAGTCCCTGGGGAATACAGGTCCACAGTTTACATCTCAACCTTTGGGAGCCAGGATCCCCCGATGGTGAGTGCCTGTTTTCAGAATTGCAGTTCTAAGTGCCGTACTTCTTGTGGGGACATTCTAACCTTTGCTTGTAAGGTACTCACCATATTTGCATATCCTCTAGTTGTTGGTCTTCTAGAGTCTTTCATTTTCTCTCTGCAGTGGTAAAATACCAGGGCTGTTACTTCAGGAATCTGTTTGTGGATACATCTGAAAATGGTGCTTTATAGCAATTGCTTTTTCTCACACATACAGACACACCTGACCCCTCTCCAGACCCATGAAACCAGAATCTCTGAGGAGGACCAGCACACCTGGATGATTATCCCCCTTCTCAATTGTTCCTGCTACAAAGCTGGGTATCCCTAGCTTGCTACATGTGGTCTCTGAGATTGATTTCCTTCACTGCTCACCAGATCTTTTCTTGTAGATTACTGGATATGTGTACACAACTATATGCTGCAGTATATCCTATTATATTCTTGGACTTGTATTACCGATTAACCTTACTTACTCCAAGCCTGAGAAAAGGGAGACATGGAAAGCTTTTTGCTGCTTGAGCTGAATCGAAGGATGAACCTTGAAGGAATTTGCCCCAGTAGGCTATGAATTCCTAGACATTGGATTTACTTAGAAGCTGAGTGGTGTCAACAGACGTTTGTTTGAAGTGATTCTGATTGCTCAGAGAGTATAATAAACTAGGGTTTTGCTTTTATCTCTTCCATATAAGATCACATAGATAAGCCATCTGACTTACAAAGCAGCATCATAAGGCCAGCCAGCTGAAAGGTGCCACAGTCCAGGTAACCTGCTGGCCTACATGCCTGCCCTGCACAGATGTAGCAGATGTAACTTGGCTGAGCAGGAAACATTTTATGAAAGACAAAGACCCCCTTCCTTGGGCAGACAGAGTGCCTGGCCGAGAGCATAGGGGAAGGGAAGGGAGAGCAAGGCGAATTTCAGTTCCCAACCTGCACAGCTTTGCATGGTGGGCGCCCCTGTCGTGTTGCTAGGACAGCAAAAGGACTGGGACGCGGTCCAGCCACATCCAGCCCTGAAGTGCTGGTCTTTAACCCTTAAGTGTTCCTGAGACTGGAGTTCTGGTGGCTCATACTGAACTGTTATTCTGGCTTCCCACACGTGCGTGGCTCTGGGCTGACCCAGGGAAGCAAAGCTTTATTTTAAGGGAGGAATTCCATGCTAGATTCATGGGTCTGATCAGAGGGGCCATCCTGGTGACCTTTCACTACAGAATATCAGGGAGAAGGACTGTCAGTTCTAATAGCAACCTTTTATGTCCCTGCTTTTTTAAAGGGATGCTTAGAAGCTTCTGTTTCAATCTGATTTTAAAGGCCCACCATTTCAGCCATTCCTGTATTATTTCTCTTGCATGGACTGCAGGTATGTCACTTAAAGAGCATCGGAGAAGGCCCAGTTATCTATGTACATCCCAGTCAAGTTGATTTTGGCAATATCTACGTCCTGAAGGACTCGCTCAGGGTTCTCAACTTGTCTAACCAGTCCTTCATCCCCGCATTATTCAAGGCATACATGGTGAGTAGATTGTGAGCTGTCACATAATAAAAACACAGCTTTGCCTGTATCTTAGAGGCAGTGGCCTTATTTCAGCAACATGTCTTTGAAAATGATCTACAGAAGCAGAGATTTACATAGTTCAACTGCATAAACTGTGTTAGTCTCATCCCTAGTTCCTCTTTATTATAACCCACTCCTGGGTATGTCTCCAAAAAGAAAAACAAAAACAATAATTAAAATAGACATACTCACTCCTATGTTTATAGCAGCATTGTTTACAATTGCTAAGACATGGAGACAACTATGGCTTTTCATTTTTTCAAAGTATTATCTTTTTTCTGTGTATTAAAGTAAAAGACATGTTTTAACGCTTAAACTCATTGATTTATAGTAAAGCCTCTTAACTATTTTTTATAATGTTTTACATATTACCAGTGAGCACCGAAAAAAGGACGATAAAATGTATCTTTATGAGAGAGCAGAGTTCTTATGTCTTAGCCTTAATTGTGAACAAAATCTATAGAATAAACTCACAGGAATAATATAATAAGACAATAACATCCTAGTTTATCAAGATGGGCATCTTCTCTCTTACCATGTAAAAGTCATAGCCATCCCAAAATGGATCACGCTCTTCTTAAGCCTTACCAAGTGACTCTTTCAGTCACAAGAGGATACCAATGTCAGTGATATCAAGAGGCTTCCAGAAGCAAAAGTTTGTACTTGGCAGACAGCTGTAAGCCCCTCATGCTGACCCTCACTTGAGACTTTTTTTACTTTGGCATAGCTAAATGTGAAACTCATAAGACAGATTCCAGCAGGTCATACTGATTATAAACCACTCTAGGAAAAAGGAAAGCTATTGATTACATGATGGGTCAGCACCTTCCCTGAATTTAGAGTGATAGCTCTGCTGATTAAATATGATTAGTTCAAGTATAAGCTCAAACCAGAATGAAAGGAGGCTTGATTTCCTTGTCACGAAAGAGCTAGCCAGAAAATAAAAGAAAAATATATTGGTTTCCTGCATGCTTTATAAGCCTTTCCATCTTCATTCTGCCTATTCCAGCTCTTAATTAGCTTTAGCAAATTGTTTTTGCTAATTAGTTATTATTCAGGCATACACTTAATACTTGTCACCACAGAGGGAGATTAAGGCAAAATTTCCTTCATATGCATCAAATGTGGCTTTTTTATTTCAAGTTCTACTTTCCCTCCTCCAGACAAATCTATAACTTCTTCCCCTTCACCAGCATCACCATAAGCAGAGCTGCAGTGGACTAAATGTTTGTGCTCTGTGCCACCCCCCCACCCCCACCATCACCAATTCATGTATTGAAATCCTAACCTTCAATGTGATGGTATTAGGAGGTGAAGTTTTTGGAAGGTAAATAGGTCATGAGGATAGAATCATCATGAATTGAGATTAGTGCCCTCATAAAAGAGACCCTGGAGAGCTCTCTCACCCTCTCCATCACTTAAGGATACAAAGAAAAAAATGGCTGTCTACAACCTGGAAGAGACCTCACACCAGAACCTGACTGTATTGACACTCTAATCTCAGACTACCAACCAGAACAGTGAGAAATAAATTTCTGTTGTTTGTAAACCACCCAGTATAGTATTCTGTTACAGCAGTCTACATTGGTGTCTACTAAGACACCAACTCGTGTTACTCTTAAGGGATGCCTGTCATTGTCATTATACACTAAAGAATTTATTCTACCTGTTTGTGCACTGACAGTAGACAGTCATCCTCAATAATAAGCTAGTACAAAATGAAACACACTTTTATGTAATGAGAAAAGACAGATGTGTTAAGGAGCATGGTGTAAAGGTTTATTAATAGTATGAAGTCCTGACACACATACATAAAGATCAGATGAATTAATGGTATGAAATCCTGACATACATAAAGATCAGATGAAGTTGATCAGGGAGCAAGTCATTTTCTTCCTCAGTGCCATTTTATCTTCTCTGTCACAAGTGAAGAAAGAGGAAAGAGACTGGAGAGGCATCTGTAACACGGTAGAGCTCTCTGTAGAATGGCACTTGGGATATTTTTTTACATGTTGGTTGTGATGAAATTGTATGCAGCATTGTTTCATGCTTGGGAAGGAAAAAATCCTCCTCTGGGATGTTAGGATATTAAATTGAAATGAGTCTGGGAGAGAAGGGCAACATTGATCTGAGGGTGAGCATGGTCATACATCTTGCACAGTTGTCTTACATATGGCAGTCACCCAGCAAACAGTGGTTGAGTATCTGAGAGCTGCAGCAGTGTTCTGCACTATCAACAGTATGGGTTCCAGTCAGACACATCTGGAATCAAGCCCTGACTCTGCGTGTGCTAATTCTGGGCACATTATTTAATCTTTCTGAAGCTTTGGTTCCTTCTCTTTCAGTGGAACTAATAATGGCATCTAGAAGATTAAACATGATAATCTAGGTAGAAAGAGCCTGATGAAAAATATACATCAGCATTCAATAAATGGTAATTTTGATTATTAATGTTGACAGACAAAAAGATCTAGGTGAAATAGCTTATGGAAAGACTTTTTAATTTTTATGACACTATATCTTAAGATTTTTTATATTTCTTAGGTAAGAAAGAAAAAGAAATAAGGCACACTCAGAGAGGCCTTAAGTTTTCAAATTTTACTGATCCACATAGTACAGTGCTTTATCAGATGGGAGCACTATTACTGCCTTTTTTCTTCATTGGTTTCTGTAATTTTTGACAGTGAAGCCAGCTTATAAAATATAAAACATTTTTATTGATGAATCCATATGTATTCTTCTACACCAAAGAAAAGACATTTATTAGCAAATAACTTACTTTAGAAAGTTTAGGTTCATTAGCTTTCTGATTCTTGGAGCTTATTTATCCATGTATTTGTGCAGATGCTTCCTGGCACCATGTAAATCATGTCTATGTTCTCAGAGCAGTCCTAGTTCCTTTTATTTAACTATCTTCATGCCTTGTGTTTGATTGAACACCTTTGACTGAGTCTTGAGAAGGCAGTGATTTTCAGAAAGAACATTATTGTCCCTATTGAAAGATACCTCCTTGTAGCCTTAAAGGATTATTGGTAATCTTAAGAGCTGTGTAATCGTAAGAGCTATGTAAGTTATAGAAACCTGCTTCCCTCATATAGTCAAACTCTGCTGGCCTTAAAATTCTCACAGACTTCCCCCTACCCCCCATTCCCTGCAAAGGGGGAAATTAAGAAGTAGGACAGTTGCTTGACCAATAGCAACTCTCAGCATTTCAGTGACCAAGCCCTTTCAATCAATCTATCATTCTAAACTCCTTCCCTTTAAGAACAGGGAGGAAATCTGGGCACAATATGAAAAATCACAATTTTAAGGGAATGATGGAGCAACAATGCCAGTGACAACAACCCAGAAGAAAAAGGAAGTTGAGAAATTTAAACCCAGCATTTATGACTGCTTTTTCTATATAGTACCAGAAGAGGTTGAAAACGAAAAGGAGCTTTCAGAAAACTTGTTGATCTAAGAAGATAAACATTGGAATCAAGACAGGCTAGAGAGATAAAAACTGAAGAAGAATGAACTTGGTAAAACTCTCAGACTTTTGCTTCCGACTAGGAAAAGCTATATTCTGGAAACAAAAGTGATGTAATGCAGACCTCATAATCTCTGCCTGGATGAAGGAGTTCCAGGATTCCTAGTTCCCGCCACATCTTTCCTAGAAGCAAATATATGTTCTTACCAGAAGACGACAACATGATTCTAAGCCTCAAAATATCTTTACAGTTTTCATATACATTTCATTAACTGTCAAACAATTAATTTTAAAATTACCAAGCATAGGATACAAATTAACATAGAACTACAATATGCTTAATATAGTCAAGGAAATAAAAGGCACAATTTAGAATTTTGGTAGAGATCTAGAAAGTGTAAAAGAGAACAAATGGGAATTGAAAACCTGAAAAATGCAGTTGAAATTAGGAACTCAGTAGATGAGTTTAACTGTGCATTACATACAGATGAATAGAGAACTGTGGAAGTGAAAGTTCAGAAGGAACTACCCAAAATGAAAATGTAGAAGAGTTGGTAAAACAGACAAACTCAGAGAGAGAGGGAAAGGGGAAAAGGGTATCATTGCCTTGCACAGAAGCAAATGGATAAGGCTCAAACTGCCGAGGTAAGAAGTAACAGTAGATTGTAGATATGAAGGTGAACAGCAAAAGAAAATGCTAAAACTTGACAGTGGTTGCCCTCATTAATGAGCAACAGTGGGATTGATAAAGTGGGAAGGTGGGTGCCAGAGACTTCTGTTTTTCACAAAAATGCCTTTTCTAGAACCACTTAACTCTGTAAATTGTGTAATGCATATATCTCATAAAAATAAGATTTAAAAATTTAAATCATGCTGCAAGACAGTATGTAGAAGTATGCTACCACTTATGCAAGAAACATTATATAAGAAAAAATAAAAATATGTATATTTTTTAGTTTTGTTTATAAAGTTTCTCTGAAAAGACAGGCAGAAAACTGGAAACAGTGGCTGCCTCTGTGAATGGTAACTAGTGGTCCTGTGCATGAGAGACAGACTCATTAGAATCCATTTGAATTCAACACTGTGACATGCATTATTTATTTTTTCAAGAAAAAGCTTCTAAGAAAGAAAGAAACTGGGAAGGAAACTAAAGAGAGCAAGCAGAGTTAAAATTAAATGGGCCCTAAAGAGAAGGGTGATCATATCCTTTTAGGATGAGTTATTTATTCAAGAAACAAAAGTGTGTCTTCCTTGTTACACAAGTTAGCATCCTTATAGAACAAACAGAAGTTAATAAAAGAAGAAAAGTCACTCATGTGTCACCCTGCCTATAACCACTATTAAGCTTTTGGTGTACATCTTCCAAAACTATACTGTGTGTGTCTGTTTGTGTATTCCTATCCCCCACCATCAATACTATTTCATTACCAGCTATTTTCATTCAACAGTGTGGTATAGTCAGTTTCTGATATGAATTATTAAGGAATAT